CCTCCTCCTCCTCCTCCTCCTCCTCCTCCTCCTCCTCCTCCTCCTCCACTAAACTCTCTCAGTTTCACAGTGGCAGCATCTGAGAGGTACAGGAACCCAGGAAGAGTCTGAGATGCCACCACCAGGATGGTCCTTCCCCTGAGAAGATGAGTCAAACTCATGTTTCTGTTTCCCTGAGTAAATTCTATAGGCTTGTCCCGAAGTACTCACATGCAGTAAGTCTGAGGAAGGCCACAACGAGCCCCATATCGGGAAAGGAAGCGATTCTCTAGGTCAATGACGGTCTCCCCGATCTTCTCATCTTTGGACAAGAGGTCATAGTCATACAAGGTGATCTTCAAATCCTTCTCCATGGGCAACGTACAAGTCAACTCAAACATCCTACAGAAAGCAGAAACATACCAGTCAGCTGAAAGGAACAAGGGCTGGGATTTTATGGAGTTGCCGTAGCTGTTCAGCAATTGAAACTCCTTTCTAGCACTGATGAGGTTACTTAGTGAGGTTATGACACGTCTGTAAGAAAACAACCAGGCTCAGAGAGCACCAAGGACCCCATAGTCATCTTCTCCTCCTCCTCCTTTTCTTCTTCCTTCTCCCCCTTTTCCTCTTCCTCCTCCTCCCTTTTCTCCTCCTCCTCCTCTTCCTTGTCCTTTTCTTCCTCCTTCTCCTCCTTTTCCTCCTCCTCCTCTTTTTCCTCCTCCTCCTCTTCCTCCTCCTCTTCCTCCTCCTCTTCCTCAATTTGCTGCAGGAGAACTCACCACGGGCAATTCAACACTGTATTTATCATTTCATTCAGTTACTTCTGTTCTTGGTGTCCACATTTGGGTCGAAATTATTGTAACTGCTGTATTTCTGGATTGGCTTTCTTTCTTTTATTATGATTGGCCTTGGGTCTGTCAAAGTTGATTGAACTTTTGCATTTGTGGAATTGTCCTCTAGTGGGTTGTCCCGTGGTGATTTGGCTGCAGCAAGTAGTCCGTGGCAAGTCACCCCACTCCATCCAGGGACATCAACTCCCCTCCGCCAACCCTGTCAGGGACTTCTACGGGAAGACTTACTTTCCAAAGACCGGTTCCAGGGTACAGGGGATGTAATTGTCCTGATCATTGATGGACTTCTTCCCCACAGAAATCTTCACATAAGGGTCACACTGTGCGGGAGAAGGACACGGAGAGAGAAAGGGGTCAAGGCACCGAAGAGGCAGGGAAGCAAAGTCAAACCCCCTTTAGATATTTCCACCATCAATGTGCAGACTGCAACCTTATGAGATCGGCCAGAGGGAGAACGAATGAGGGCTTCAAGTCACCCTTGGGGTCTTCTTCTGTCCTTCACCACCACACCCAAGATGCCTCTACTGGTTCCTGCAAATAGACTGGGCAACCAAAGAGGAAACTTGGAGGAAAGTCCAAGAACAGTCCAAGACCTGTGGACTTCAACTCCCAGAATTCTCCAGCCGGAAGTTGAAGTCCACGGGTCTTAAAAGTGGCCAAGGTTGGAAGCCCCTGCCCTAGACTCTCCTTCCCAACCTGGTGGCCTGTAGAGGCATTGAACTTCCTGTTGGCTGGGGCATATGGGAGTAGTAGTCCAACCCATTTGGGACCCATCCAATTCAGGAACGTTGCTCTGCATGTCCTCAAGAATCTCCCCGTCGACACATCTAAGCTTCATATACCTGACGTAAAATAAAAAACTAACTTGATGTAAGCCACATGTTGACCATAGATGGAATCCACATTGCTACTGAGAATAAGCAGACACTCATCACCACCTCCCTCTCTGCTCTGCTCTGCACCCCCCCTCATTCGTTGAGCGAATGGCTTGGCGGTGAAGATGAAGGCCACACAGAGCTCAGGGCTAGGAATGGTCCACCCTCAACGAAAGTGCAGGCTCCAAAAGGCGACCGGAATGTCTTGAACTGTTTTTACTTGAAAACACCTAATTTCTCAATTCAAGAAGAAGCTTCAGTTCGGAAGAATTGAGGAAGCTTTAGAATGGAATGGGAATAGAGTAGTTTGAATAGAATTAGAGTAGAGTAGAGAAGGGTAGGGTAGAGTAGAGTAGAGTAGGGTAGGGTAGGGTAGGGTAAGGTAGGGTAGGGTAGGGTAAGGAAGAGAAGAGAAGGGAAGGGAAGGGAAGGGAAGAGAAGAGAAGAGAAGAGAAGAGAAGAGAAGAGAAGAGAAGAGAAGAGAAGAGAAGAGAAGAGAAGAGAAGAGAAGAGAAAATATGGAATGGAATAGAATAGGGAATAGGATAGAATATAGACTATATTCTATCCTATTCCCTATTATTCCCTATTAGTAGAGTAGAAAAGAATTAGAATAGAAATAGAATAGAAGTAGGATAGAAGTAGAGTAGAGTAGAGTAGAGTAGTGTAGAATAGAATAGAATAGAATAGAATAGAATAGAATAGAATAGAA